CACCAGCTCTCACCCGTGTCCTGAGCCCAGCAAGGCCTCCCGAGCTCTGCCTACACCGCTGATCCTTCTCTGCGCTACAACCGAAGGGACAGTCGGACCCAGTCCGTCTTCCAAGGCTCCTCTCTGCCCTTACAATGAAGTCCAAATGCCTGAGCCGAGTCCCTTTCTCACAGGCTGAGTCAGGGTCTTGACCATCGTTGGGTCCTCAAAAGGGCCAGGCCATGGGCGGCCATTCAACCAATGTTTGTTAAGTGACTATACAAGGCCAGGGTGGGTGTGGGTCTCTACCCTACAGTGGGGCCTTGTGACATCATAATACAGACCCCGCCCAGGAGAGGATATTGGTCTATTTACAGGATAACCTGGTAACTGGGTTTAATTGGAAATTCCTATCAGTGTTTCGATGCAGATGAGAGCTATGATTTTAATGGAGCTGAGACTTTAAAAAAATGCTATAGAGACATGACCATAGGCAGAAATGGCTGGTACCAAGTTGGTGCGCTAGTCTAGTCTATAGCATAAGTCCAGCCATATTGGGGATTGCAACGGGAAGACCACAGTAAGGACCACAGCCCCGAGTCCGGTTGGGCCTACTCTGTGATCTTGAGCGTTTACTCAGCAGCTTTAAGCTCCATCTAAAAATGACCCCTGCTGCCCGGCCGGCGTGGCTCAGTGGTTGAGCATCGACCTATGAACCAGGAGGTCACAGTTTGATTCTGGGTCAGGGCACATGCCCGGGTTGCGGGCTTGATCCCCAGGGTGGGGCGTTCAGGAGGCAGCCGATCAATGATTCTCTCTCATTGATGTTTCTATCTCTCTGTCCTTCTCCCTTCCTCTCTGAAATCAATAATATATTTTAAAAAACAAACTTAAAAGTGATCCCTGCCCAGTGGGCCTAACGCGGCTGCTGTGAAGCCCAGCGGAGCCCTGGCTGAGGAAAGGCTGTCCAAACGCGAAAGGGCTGGGCACACAGAAGGCCACGGCGGAGTCCAGCGGGCAGCTCCCTCTGTGGGAAGCCCGGTACACCCCTCTCCTGGCAGTGGCCGGAGTGTGCACTGGGATTGTCTTTGTTGCTCTGATTCTGGCCTGGGATGTGAGAGGCAGACCTTCCGTCGGGCGTCTGGGCCTCAGCCCCCCGTCCCCACGGACAGAGGCAGGAAGGACACTCACCGGCCGCTCAGGGACCCCTTCCGTGAGGAGGGCAGTTGGGTTCGATGACCCTGAGGTTCAGACCCAGAATTCTCTGGGAGCCTCTTCCTCTCCCTTGGCAGGATTCCGTTTTAAACAAAGACAAGGATTCTAGCAGAATTGGGCAACTTCAAGAAAACCCGCTTCTGGAAACTCCCGGAAGCCAAGCCTCAGACAGAGAACATTTTCTTCCCCAAAATAAAAGTGCAAAGAAAACGAGTGCTGCCCGTTCATGCAAGAGGGCGAATACCTACCCTGGGAAGCCACACGCCCCTGCCCCCGCCGGATCGCAGACCCAGGAGGCCGCACCCAAGCCGGGCAGAGGCACACAGCCTGGCCCCTGCCTGGCGCCCAGCAGCATGTGCTGTGCCCGGTGCCAGTATGTGAGCGTGTTTTTGATCGCCTCCCCAGAAGAACTCGGGCCCAGGACATGGGGCCAATGCTTGTGGTTTGGTCCCTGCTTCCCGAGTTCAGGCCCGTCCTGAGGCACCGCCCATCCATTCGCTCACTAGGAGAACTCTGCCAGGCACTGTGCCGAGTGTGCGGACAGGGAAGTGACCTTGTTCTCAGTCTATGGGGGACCATCAAGTAAGCATGAGTTCCATGCAACCCAGACACAGGAGCGTTGGTTCATGGCTATTACGAGGTTGTACTCAATATTATGGGTTGGAGAAGGCTCTCTTGAGGTGGACTCGATGGAGCAGGAGGCCCTGTTCCCACTGACCCCTGACCCCGGCTGACTCCGTGGCCAGCCCCAAGGCCCGGCCTCGGAGACCTCTCCTGCCCCCTGTCCCCATCCCAGTGACGCACCCCCAGCTGGTTTTCTCCTTTCTGGAACTATTTGCCACTGTGATGATCTTGTGTCCTTGTTTACTGGCTGACCATCTTCCCGCCCCCCCCCCCCCCCAATCTACCTGAGGTGAAGGTGAAGAGCGGGGTGTAGGGGAGGGAAGGGCATTTAAAGGGAACAGAATGAGCAGAGGCCTGGAAGTGCTGGGCATGGCCAGGACTTACAGCATTCCATCCAAAAGTGTAAGCCAGGATTGATGGGCAAGGAGGTGGCTCGGAGACCAATGAGGGAGGCCCGAGCTTAGAGACACTGAAGGGAAGAGGGGTGATGTGGACACGTTAGAGCAATGAACATGCCAGTGCCTTTCAGGGCCAGCCTATGTTCAGTGCTGGCGCAGGCTCCTATTCCACTTTAAAAACCACCTAAAAATCTCTCTGGAGTTTTGTTTTTTGTTTGGAATAGGACTAGGTTCATGCTGCTGATCTAACGTCTGGTACACAGTTGGTGCTCAGTCTATGGGGTCAGGCTCCTCCCTGCCAGGGAGTTGTTACCACCTAAGCCAGTGGTTCTCAACCTTCTGGTCCTTTAAATACAGTTCCTCATGTTGTGACCCAACCATAAAATTACTTTCGTGGCTACTTCATAACTGTCATGTTGCTACTGTTGTGAATCGTCATGTAAACATCTGATATGCAGGATGGTCTTAGGCCACCCCTGTGAAAGGATCGTTCGACCGCCAAAGGGGTCGCGACCCACAGGTTGAGAACCCCTGGCCTAAGCCATGTTCCCTAGAGATGCAGCAGTGAATCCGTTCATAGGAACAGTCATCCTTGTGTGGTGAACAATGGCCCGGCCCTGCGGCTACCGCCCGCACCCTTTGTTCAAAGCCTTCTGTCCCTAGACCGGCCTCTGGATGGAAGGGAAGGCTGATGCTCTTAAGCTCTTTGCTTTGGAAGGAAACTTACTTTCAGCCCGACTTTACCCCATGGCAATTACAGAAAATAAAGTGTAAAAAACAAGACATGGCTAGCAGATGGGGCAAAATCAGGTGCCACCAGATACACGCTCCCTGCCCTGCAGGACAGACCAGCAGATCCTGGAGTGTGAAGTGACCGTGTGCTTTCCAATCAAGTGGGGGAGAAGGCAACTCCTGCCTCCAGCCGGGAGCATGTGCCCAGGCACCCATGAGCCCCACTGGCACCCATGAGCCCCATTGGCACCCATGAGCCCAGACACCCATGAGTCTCCCTGGCACCCATGAGCCCCACTGGCACCGTGGGGCCTCCATCGGGCCTCCAGACCTGCACACGAAGACCACGGGGCAGGCTGGTGACTCCTGGAAAGGCCTCGAGAGGTTATAAAAGAAAGTATTGGTTTTCTGTCTGATTGTAAAGATTGTGCTCACGGTGGGCCATGTGGGCCATGGAGAGCAAAGGGAGAGAAAAAGCCACCCAAGCTCTGCCTCTTGCTTCTATGCCTCCATCCTGTGAACGGACTCCCCACCAGTGTCACCTGGCCCAGTGCCGGCCGGTCCCAGCTGTGCCCCTGGTACCCAGACAAGCCAAACGCAAAGGAAGCCAAGGCCGTTTCCACTGACCCTGACCCCGGCTCTCAGTGGTCAGCCCCAAGGCTGGTCCTCAGAGGCCTCTCCTGCCCCCTGCCCCCATCCCAGTGACCACCCTCAGTTGATTTCCTTTTTTCTGGAACTACTTGCCAGTGTAACGGTCTTGTGTCCTTGTTTGCTGGCTGTCCATCCCCTGGCTCCCCAGCACTCTCCCGAGGGTAGACTCGCTCCCCTTAAGAGCCGGGCCTCAAGGGCCCAGGTGGGCTCACCAGTGCGGCTCCCCGTGGCTGTTAGGGAGGGAGGAGGCCACCCGCCCCATGGCCAGTATTTCAGTAGAATCAACAGCGATGATGAACACGGCCCAGGTTTAGATGCTCAGTGAGGCCTGGCCATCCCCCCCCCCCCCCCCCCCCCCCCCCCGCCCCGCTGGAGCGGCCCATATATAAGCCACTGTGTGCGCGCCGGCACATGCGCAGGCTGGGGACAGGGTCACAGCCCTCCTGCCCCCAACTCATTCCGGCCCGGGGCGCATTCCAGGGCTCCAGACAGTCGCTTTCCCGCCTGTGCAACCACTGAAGAGCTCGCCGGAGTCTGTGTAAGCCCCAAACAAGATAAGATCCGGGGCTCCCAAGCGTTAAAAGAAACAGCACAGTAGGGAAGGCCCAGCACTCATCCCCATGAAGCCCCAGAGAGGGTCACGTGGGGGGGGGGGGCAGCGGCCCAGGACACCCCCGCAGCCCAGCGTCCACTGTTTCTCCCTCCTCCCCAGACCCGAGGCCGGGCCTGGACTGGGTGCCCCAAGAACGGTTCCCCAAATCCAAGCCCAGGAAAGAGGTCCTTTTTGCCATGCTCCCCCCACCGCCCCGATTTGGAGATAGAGGAGAGCCTCCCCCAACTCCATTTCCACCCTTCACCCCTCCCCAGGCCCTGGCCCCTCCCCGGTGCCCTCAGCCCCCCACCTCCCCGCAGGAGGCTGCCCCTCCGAACTGCCCAGGGCAGGACCTGCCTGGAGGGTGTGCAGGAGGGGTCAGCCGCGGGACAGGGCGCCGGGGATGGCGCCGGGGTAGCACTAGGCCCTGGGACCGCGGGCTCCGGGCGCACCCCGCGGTGGCGTCACGCGGCCCACCGCCCCCTGAGATCACAATCTAGGGGCCGGGACCCCGCGCCTCATCACCGCCGTCTGCACACAAACAATCCCCCCAACAAACACCGGGGCGAGGACACCGGCCCGCGCCCGGCCGCCACCTCCGCTCCTCCCAGCGCCCCCGGGGCCCCCGCCCCCACATGGGGGAGTGAGCGCGAGCCAGGGCGCCCGCACCGCCGCCCCGCGCCCGCCAGCTGCCCGCCCGCGGCGGGGGCGGCCCGAACGCGCCCGCCCCGCCCGCCCGCGCCCCGCCCGCGCCCGCCGCTCCTCGGCTCCTCGGCTCCGCGGCGCCCTCGCCGGGTGCGTGCCGCTCGCGCCCGCCGCCCGGCTCCCCGCGCCCGCCGCCCGCGCCCGCCGGCGCCCGGCCCGCCGCCCGCGCCCCATGGCGGCTCCGGAGTGGGACTGGTTCCAGCGCGAGGAGCTCATCGGGCAGATCAGCGACATCCGCGTCCAGAACCTGCAGGGTAAGCGCCGCCCCCGCCGAGGGGCGCCGGGCGGGGGTCGCTGGAGCCGCTCCCGCCCCGCCGCCCCGGCGGGTCCTGACCCCGCATCCGTCACCGGCTGGGAGGAGGGGGTGAAGCGCCCGCCCCCAACCCCCCGCCGCGCCGGCTCCGTGGGTGGGGCGGCACACGTGCGTGGTTTGGGGGGTCCCCCTTTTTCTGCGGGGCGTCGCGAGTCCCCTCCGGCCCCCGCGGCGAGTTTGGAGAAGTTTGTCCTGGGCGCTGGGGGCGGCGGCCCAGGTCCGGGAGGGGAGGAGAAGGCGCGGCTCCGTGCGCCCCGGGTGAGTGCCCTCCCTCCTCCGTACCCCTGGGGCCGGGGTGACCGGGACGGCGCCCCCGCCGGCGGGCTGGGAGCAGGGGGCCGGGCTGATCTGTGGGTTCAGGAGGGCACCGCCCCCGCCGGTCAGGTCGCGCTCGGCCGGGAGCTGCCCCTCCCCTGGCCCGCGCTCGCTCGGGGGGCCAGAGGCCCCGCCCACCGGGCCAGACGGCGTCCACCCCGAAAGGAGGCGAAGGAGAAGCCCAGGTGCCCGCCTCTGCCCAGGGCTGGGTGCCTCCGCCGCGGACGAGGCTCATCTGTCTTGCAAAGGAGTTTGTTCACGGTGGAAACTTAGCACAAAAATATTTCAAGGGGAAAGTCACCCACATTCACCTCCTCACCCACCCGCCCAAACAAAGCTGCTCTGCCTGGAGGTGTATTTCCAATCTCTCTCTCTCTCTCTCTCTCTCTCTCTCTCTCTCTCTCTCTCTCTCTCTCTCTCTCTCTCTCGTTCATACATGAACTTCGCAGAACTGGACAGAGTTCCACTTCCGGCCTCTCTCCGTGCACATGGACCTGGGCAGGGGGAGGTGCTTTAGCAGTTTCCCCCGCGGACTTGGGTTTCCGGAGGTTCCAAGGCTGGGGTGGCTCCCAGGGAGTGGGGAGGCCGGTACTGAGAGGTTTTGGGGGCCTGTTGCCCCTGCCCCCAGCAGGTGGCATGACTTTATGGCTTGGGGGCGGGGCAGGGAGCCCCAGCTGGGGGTGGCTGGGCAGTCAAGTTTAAACATTACACCCGGTGGAATGTTTCTGGGCCCACGTGGACCAGCTCCACCCCCAGGTTGGGCAAGGACAGCGCAGGCAGAGGTGACCTAAAGCGGAGAGGGGGCCGGGCCAGTGGAAAGGAGTTTGCTCTGAGCTCCCCTGATCCCTCTGGCTGTGATTTGTGTAAAAGGAGGAGGACTGGCTGGAGATGTTGAAAATGATTCCTTTTGATAATAAGCCGCACGCCTGGATCCTGTGGCCGCAGAGCTGACACCCTATTCAGGGGGCTGGCAGTTAATACCTTTTGCTGAGATGGCATCTGGTTTGGGCTGTCAGGGTGTGTGTGTGTGTGTGTGTGTGTGTGTGTGTGTGTGTGTGTGTCTTAGGCAACTAGTGGGTGTTTAATAAACACCTTCTAATCAATTCTTGGTACAACTTCCTGCATTCCTCTAGGATCAGCTCCCAGTGTGCAGGGATGTTCAGCAATGTGAGCAGTTAGTTATACCTACTAGGTGTACTGATTCATAATGGCGGACTTTGTAATCAAAGAAAACAATCATTTCAAGAGAAACATCAAAAGTGCTTTATTCAAAGTAACGTCCATCGCTAGCTACACATTTCCCCATTTCAGGTAATTTGTGGATACCGTCCCAATAGAACTTTTCTTGTTTTGAGGCAAACCATTCAGAGACCCAATTTTCCACTTCTTCGCATGTTTAGAAGTGCTGCTCAGAAAGTGCGTGTGCCATCGGTCGGAACAAGTGGTCATCTGAAGGAGTGAGGTCTGGTGAATACGGCGGGTGGGCTAATACTTCCCAGGCAAGATCTTTTAATGTCTTTAACTGGTTTTGAAGTGTGTGCTGGTGCGTCATCACGAAGCAAAATTACTTTGCTGTGTCTTCTGGCCCATTCTGGTCGTTTCACGATCAAAGTGTGGTTCAAATTGATTATTTGTTGTCGGTAGCGATCAGTATTAACGGTTTCACCTGGTTTGAGAAGCTCATAATGCACCACACCTTCCTGATCCCACCAAACGCAGAGCATTGTCTTCTTTCCGAAGCCATTTGGCCTTGCAGTTGATGTTGATGGTTGACCTGGATCAACCCATGATTTTGTGCTTTTGGGATTCTCAAAATAAATCCACTTTTCATCGCCAGTCACAATTCGATGCAAAAAAGACTCTCTTTTATGCCATTGAAGCAACATTTTACTGATGACTTTTCAGTTTTCCATTTGTCTTTCGTTCAGTTGATGTGGCACCCATTTTCCTTCCTTTAAAGTCTTTCCCAGTGCTGTAAGTGATTGGAAATTGTTTGCTGAGCAACGTTTAATCTTCCTGCAAGTTGTCTTTGAGTTTGACACGCATCTTCATCCAATAATGCTTGTAATTGTTGGTCTTCAAACTTTTTCGGTTGACCTGGGCGTTCTTTGTCTTCCACATAGAAATCACCACTTTTAAAGCGTTTAAACCAGCGTTCACAAGTATATTGAGATGGAGCATGTTCACCATAAGCTTCCCGAAGTAGATGGCAACTTTTTCTTTAAAATAAAGTAGTCGATTAAAACTTCCCGCAAATGCTCTTTTTTTTTGCATGAAATTCGACGTTTTTAAGTGTAAAAATATCTATGATGTTAACACCTTCAGCAAATTTGATATATGAAGTTTTGAAGCTTGCTGTCAATACAACAAAATAGCATAGATATCAAATTGCGTATATATCAACATATGTGTAACTCCATCTATTGAAAAAAATCTGCATTATTAACTGGTACACCTAGTAGAACTGTGAGAGAAGGCTTCGCCAAATGGGGATAATTTGATATGGGTCCTGAAGGTTGGATAGGAGTTCACTGGTGGGCTCCTATCTCTCAGTTACCAGTGAACTGTCCTCACTTTTAGGCAATGCCAGTTACAATTTGAGCATCAAAACCTTTGCCATTAAAAAAATAATAAACTTTTAAACTTATGTATGTACTTCATATGCATCTTATATATGACTAGTGTCCCCATGCACGTATTTGTGCACATCGAAAGGAAATAATTAGAAGAAATATTTTAATATCGCTATTCGCCCTTTCTCTATAATAGAAGTGTCAACCAAATTCGTGATTGACAATGACAGATGGAAACACATGCGTGTGATTGGTGCCAGCGAGTTTTACAAAGTATCGCATATGCATGAGTTAACTTACTAGTAGCCTTTTATATATGTAGATAAAATTGCTTAATTAGACCTGCTTTCTGATTTAGCTAAACTTTTTATAGCCCAGTGAAGCACCCCAACTTCTCTTTCAGGTAATTGTCAACAACACAGCAGTAAATATCAACATGAAGCAGATTATTATTGTAGATCACACAGGGAGAAAAAAGAGCAAAATATTTAACTATAGCAGTGTTTGACTATATTCTGCGCAGTGAGAAAACCTGAAGTCATTTTCAAGTTCCTCCATTTCTTCTTTTCAGTCTGGCCAAGTTTTTAAATTTTCTAAATCTCCATTTTCTGGCTAATGAAAAGAAAATAGGATTCTACTGAGTCTCCTTTCTTCCTACTCCAGGAATCAAATGAGATGAGGCATGGGAAAACACTGCACGAACATTTGGTTAAACTGTAAAATGTTTGCACCTGGTTGTAAAACAAGTGGTGTTCCTGGGCGGAACAAGTTGTGTTCGGTGGGTGCGGCCTTGTTCGTCAATTAGCCAAGGAGGCTAGTTGCTAGGGAGAGGAAGCCGGGTGTTGCTATGTGACATCATTACCCGGCGCCCACAGCGACCGTTTCCAGGCTGGACTGGGATGTGGGCTGCATTTTGCGCCATGGGGGTCTCGGCAGCGTTGGCTGTGATTGGGTGGGGTGTCACCCCGGATGGTGGCGAGGCCTGTGTCCCACTTGGGGGAAGCCAAGTATTGGTTTGTCTGCACCAGGTCTGTGGTGCTGTTTATTTTTAAATGGCCAGTGGGTGTCATGGCAGCTCCTGCGTTGAGCATCTGCCCCCTGGTGGTCAGTGCGCGTCATAGCTACCGGTCGGTGGGAAGGATGGACACTTAGCCTTTTATATGAATAGGTTACATAGATTTATATAAAGTGCATTAATCTTAAGGATGAGCCCAACAAATTTTTACATGTGGATACACCATCACCCCAGTCAAGATGCAGGAGAGTTCCGCCATCCTGGGTGGGTGCCGCCTCGCCCTCCCCAGTCAGTAACAACCCCACACGCACACTAGGCAGCCACTGCTCTGATCTCTATTGTTGTTGTCTTGCCTCTGGAACTCTCCAGTACATTGACCTGGACAGTGCGTGCTCTTTGAAACTGGCCTTTTTTATTCCCCGTTATGTCGGAGCAGTGGATCCACTGCTTGCTTGTTTCAGTACTTTTTGGGAGGGGGGAAACTGTAGAACTACTTTACCGAGGTGTGATGTACATAGAATAAAATTCGCCTGTTTTAAGTTTATGTTTCAGTCATTTTTAGTGCAGCTACAGCATTGTGCAAACATCACAGCAGTCCAGCGTGGGAGCGGTTTCCTTACCTGCTGGTGCCCAGCCTGTGCGTCAGTCCCCGCTCCCAGCCCTGGGCCAGGCAGTGCACAGATCCATCGTGTGCGCAGCCATCGGGGAGGGACATTCGGGGTGCTCACAGTTCGGGCTACTATGAGTGAAAGAGCTGTCGGTCCCGGGCACCCAGCTTTGCTGCTCTGCCCGGCACCCCTGAGAAGGGGCTGGGAGAGGGGGTGGCAGCAGTAATCTGTCTTCTCTCTGTCTCCATTATTCCCTGGGCTTCCCTGTCTCTTGATTGGATGTTAGCAGACATGTTCTCTCCTTATCTCTGTGGTGCTCAGGAAGTCCCAACCGCAGGGCCACGCCCAGAAGGCACCCACGCCATGCCTCGAGCGTCTGCCCAAACCAGCTGATGGGTGTCAGCAGGCCCTGATGGTCCGGGCGATCAGC